CTGTACTAATATATAAAGCTGAAGAGTTTGTTTGTTAGAACCCGCTTATTTTAGGATCTACTGGTTCGAACAGAAAAAATATTTTTGTGTTGTTTAGAGCATTTATTGAGAAAGGCTATATAACAATACGCTGTGACTGTGTGAATAAAAGGGGAAAAATTATTTATCTTCGTGGGCTTCCGTTGCGTACGCTACGAAAACGATACAAGATACCCAAAAAAATTATGAAAGAAGGCTTCCTCCTTCATTGTTCTAAATAAATGTCCGCGACACCATATGTCTATCTTTTAAGATTAACTTGCGAGAACGACGGGACGCGTGCGACGTTGTGGGTCCTGGGCAATGTTGATGCTCAAAATAACTACTCTACGCGGACAAAGTCGCTGACACAGCTAGTTTTGGAATAAAGACTAATATTGCGTTCTGTAGTGAAATATGATTTTTTTTTCATTGAACTTTATAAATATAAGCTATTGCGCGAGAGGTACATTTATTAATAGGTTAAAAATTCGACAGTGACTTGTAGGACTCGGTAGCTCAATTGGTTAGAGCAACATCACGGAACGCTGAGGATGCCGGTTCAAGTCCTGCCCGTATCGTATTTTTTTTTAATTATTATCAATTTTTAATAAATATAAGCTCTTTCAAACGTTTTAGAAGCAAACAAATTTAAGTAATTACTCGTATTTAAATTGACTTTACAAAACTGTTACATTTTCTCAAACAACAACAATAAATGCTTCACCGTATTTTATTAAAAATATGCTATTGCCGATTAACGTTTTCAAACAAAGATTTCCGTTATGATCGTTCTTGGAAATATCTTTCAATACTTATTATTCACTGCCCTTATTTCTTACCTCAAGCGGGGAGCTTTTGTGTAGCCTACGTAATAAGCGTCAAGCCACAGAGAGATACAATGGCTTGGCATGCAGAATGAAGCATGACTCCAGCATTATTTTACTATCCGTCAAGATGACATTTGTATTTTTCGCGTCTATGCAGCGTCCGCCGTTTGGGCGCCAACTTGTCGTTTATCATGGGCTCAACCGTGGTCAGGCGTCGCGGCATGGGGGAAAATAATGATCTTATTAATATAAAAAAAAATGTTATTAGATCTCCAAAACTCTACGCAAATAGTTGAAATACATTTAAAGATATATCCCGTATAATTGTTATAGTATCGGTTGATTGAATTTATTGTTGGGCATGGAAATGAATTGTAAAAATAATAAACGCTTAATATTTTATTTATGTATGACGTGCAAAGATCCGTGTTCCCATATGAGGCACGGGGTAGACATATTTATACATCTGTTTTAGTGATCGATTTTTTCTTAAAAACAAGTGTTTGTTCAAATTTGTCTGTGGGACCGAAAGCTTTTTTTTTATGTTCGACAAGCATGGGGGCTCATTTGATGGAATGTATTTACCCCGACGTATAACATCTAACAGTGTAAATAAATACTGAGTAGTAGCAGTGATGAGTACCTTTTCTTTTCGTACACACAAGTGTTTCTTCAAGGTAGAGCTTAAATTCTCTTAATACTCGATAAGCGACGGTCGGCACTTGCGTTGCACCAAAAGCCATCGTCAGCAGCACGTGCACTGCGCCTTACGTCGTGCTCGCTCCACGTTTATTATCGAGTGATTGGCTGCCTGCGTGATTCGACTTGCCAACTATCTTTTTGAAGCGATACGAACGTTCCGCTCGGGGATTAGCTTCTTTTATTTCCTTTTTATAGCCAGTCGCATGATTACAAGAAAGGTAGACTCCGTACGCGAGGTAATTCCACGCGATTTACATCGCATCGACAAAACGACTTCCATTTAATGAGTCCTTTCTCTCCTTCAGCTATGCGTTCGTTTGCGTTTTCTCGATACTGTACTAGTTTTTAGTGCCACCAGAAAAAATACGTACAATTAAATACTGTCTTTAGTTTACACTAATAGAACACATTTAAAGAAAACACTTAACAGTTTAAAACGCGAAATGATTCCCAAATTTTTTTACAAATTATTTTAACTAGTGCCCTACGTTTCGAATGCTTTGCATCAGTCGTGGTCACGGGGAGACAGAATTACATAGAGTTATCAATAATAAAATAAAACTTTTTCAAAATCAAAATGTATAAGTAATTTATTCCATCACTATTTGAAGAATCGGACGCTTTATCATAGCACGTTTCCGATCATTGTTATAGTAAATATACATTTTCGAATATATATCGTGTTGTAAATCACAAAAAAAAAACTTAAATTAGGAATGGAAACAGCCAATCGGATACCTGGTTTTTAACGGCTTCCGTTGATTTGACGAAAAGAAACAGGAAAAGTAATGGCTATTAAATAACTATTCGATGTCAAAATACACTATATTAATAAAGTTTCCGTGGGGTAGATTAAGGTTTAAAGTCATCGGCAGTTTGTTGTGATTTGAATTATCGGCATACGAGGCATAATCGTTCGGGGCGCGATATTGGCGTTACATCAAGTTGTCAGCGAAGAGAAAAATTGCCACAATCCCCCCTTGCACCCCCTCCCGTCGACCAAAGTCGAAAGAACGTTTAATATTGCACATTACAGCGGGATTCATGAGTCAAATCGTTTTCAGCTTTTAGATATTTTAGATAGATTTAAATCGAAGGATATTTCAGACAAGCATGGGGCTCACTCAAAGGAAAATACCCCAGTCATATGACATTTAAACAAGATGCGCAGTCGGCCTATTTTTGCTTTAGATATTGAAAATTTTCTGAGATTGAAACCGAAATGGGGATTTACACTTCAAGGCTTTTTTAACTGGGGGTAGGTGGTTCGTCGAATTTCGGTATACGTACCACCATTTTAGATCGCCTTTGCACCTAAATGATTAAGAGTTGCCCAGCATTGCGTTAAGCGCGAGAAGTCTTGGGTTCAAATTCCTTAAAATAATAGATTGTTTCAATAGGGCAGGGCACAGAAATGTTTTCGCCCCCTGCCCCACGTTGGGAAACGGGATCTCACTCACAGGTTTTCTAGAGAAATCTAAGTCTGCTGAAAATCAAACCGTCTATTAGCCCTTACATTACAACCGTTATATTAAAGACAATAAAACAACCATTGTGTCTTATCACACACCGTGACAAATTCATCTGTGGCTAATGGATATTTTATCATCGTAAAAAAATGTATTTTCTTTTAAAAACATAAATGAAACTTAATTTCGTTATCTATACACGTAAGTATAAGATTAGTCCTCATCGTTATTCGCTAAGCAAAGCTGATAATACTAAAATTTGAATATGAACAGCTATATTATACTGTATAACTCGGGGTGCTGCAATAGCATAGATACAACTGATCTGAAATGCTAATTCGGAACGAGGCTTTATTCAAAAATATTGTGTCAATGTGATAATTTAAAAGTAATCATTATGATTAAGTGCTGTTGGTATTTCACACTAACAGTATATATTTAACAAGATATTTAGTTTGATACCACGGCTATCGCGATTCAATTAAAAATATTAAAAATAGATAGAACGCTTAACTAATCAACCATTGTTTTTAAGCAAGAACATTACAAATCTATTTAAATTGGAATATTAACGACACGCGCAGGACTTAAAACCGGCACCCACAGCGTTCCGTGCTGCTGCTCTAATCAATTGAGCTAACGTGTACTAGACGTTATCTTGGAATTTCTTCAACCTATTGACGCATATTAACTATTATGTTAATTGTATTGTATTTAGGAAAATTACACTTAATTCAACAACAATTAAGTGAACATAGACAAAAATACTTAAGTGTTAAGTAGGAAAGCATGATATTAATTTTCCTTTGTGTGAAATTAATGCAAATACCGAGATCCCTACTCTCGAGACATCGAGATACTATGACTATGAGATATCTCACACCGCTTCAACTCCATTCAGGTACAGACACACCTGTTCGATTTATAGTCTCGGTAAATTCATTGTTATTCACAGCCAATAAGCATGAGCCATGATGTATGACTCTTTATTATCTCCCAGGAGCCTCGTTAAGCCCGGGAACAGCTTATTTATAAATAATTACTTCTGCGTTCAAATGGACTGGGCGGGATGCTATAATTTCGCTAAGATACTTTCATATACTTGGAAATGCTCCTTTTTTATAACAGAGGAGGACAGATAAGCACCTAATGGTAGTTGAATTACCCCAGCGTGATATAACATTGTAAGTAGATGCGCTATTTTAGCCTTTGGCATTGGAACATCCACAAGCTAGAACCGAATTTCGTAATTCTACTACCTATTGCAATACCAGACTTTTTAATCTGTGGACCATGTTTCGTGACCGAAATGAGATATTTAAATTGCTATTTGAAAATATTCACACTGGTGGGTCAACCCACAGTCCATTGATTCAGACATATTTTAAATTAATTTTAAATATGTCTTACACTATGTAAGTGCAATTTATAGTCTATTAATAATTTTGACTTTATTCTACCTCTTTTAAAATTTTACAGTAAATAGCAATATAATTTGTTCATATAAAATCTACTATGCTCTATGGAGAAGAGGCAGTCACGTTATCGTCTGTTCGTTACAGATTCGTAGATCTATTTTTAAGATTATCATATTGATGAAAATAATATACTCGATCTACTAAGACAAAATACATATATTTATTAACGTATACTTACTACGTCTTCCCCCTGAACGCCTCGTTATTTTATAACCAACAATAACAAATTTTACTCTAAATAAAACACTTTAACGGTTCTATAAATACGCGATATATATACAGTATTTAATCTCACTCTTTTCTCTATAATACCTCTAAGGCGTAGGCATACCCCAATATTTTCTAATCTTTTTCGGCGGGCTTTGTTATGACGTATATTGTTATAAACTTAAAGTAATTATAATCTATGAAAGAAAAGTATCGATAAAGATACCTCCAGTTGCCAAGTGTATAGTGTTGTGTGGGTAATTGTAGAAGTAGATTGCGTTGGTCGAGTGTTCGGCATGGTCCACGTGGCACAAGATTGCGGAGGCGCTGTTTGCTCTTTGGCGAAGCCCGCAACGGTGTTACGGTTCAGCGAGCCGTGTGGCGACCGCGCGGCCTCTCGGGTCACGTCTCCGGCCAAATTGAAATATCCCCGCCACCCTGACTTCTGCTCTCACACACCACCGTTCCTGGCTTCTTGCACTTGTTAGATTTTTATGTTTATAGACCTATAGGTAAATATAGATATTAGACTCTATAAGATTTTAAGGATATTATGTAAATAAAGAAAGAAGATATAGTGTCAAGTTCTATTTCGTTAAACAAGATGTTTTTCAGCAACGTATTCCCCATATTAACAGCAACATATTTATTGTATATGTTTATGTATATACAAATAGGAATTTAACAAATAATGGTACCACAATTATATAGGTATAACACAAGGTTACGATACTTAATTTTACTTACTTTTCTTTCAATTAATGAAATCTTAAAAAATTTCTAGATATAGTCTAAAAAAAAAGGGGGCGCGTGGGGGGGAAACGTCGAAACCTCTTCTCGCTCACATCGGCCGAACAGCCCGAAAGACAATGCGCCGAAAGCCTTATCATTTATCTTAAAAAATTCTAATATATTTCGATTCGATCATTTCTTTTAAGATTACATTGTAATTTTAGGGAGTTACTTCATATAAAAATGTAAATTAGCTTTATTGGAAAAAATTATTATTTTCATCAACAGTGAACTTCTTACGATCAACACTCGTAAATTCATGAAAGAAAAAATACATTAATATCGTACGCATAGTATACCCAAGCTAAGCCGGGACGGGTCACTAGTAATATATATAAAGCGATTCTGAGTGTTTGCATAGGTACCGCGCGTCCAATCAAATTATATTATAACCAAATAAATGTATAGCTATACTCCTTTCGGGGTATCGAAGCGTTTGTGCCATATTTCGCGAGTATTATATATTGTTATGGTTCGCGAACGATTCAATTTCCGTGCGCAGACAGTGTTGGAATTTACGTGCGCAGATTTACATGCCACTGAAATAATTTGCAAACGGTACTCGAACGTTACATCAATTCATATTCCGCTCCTGGTGTGGGAGTATTCCCAGAATTAGGACTAGGCTATATAGGAATAGACTATATTATTGTTTAAATTTCATATCTAACTAGCTGTGTCAGCGACTTTGTCCGCGTAGAATAGTTTGCATACCTACGCAATTTTCGGGCATCCAAATTTCTTTTTGCAAACCTCTTCATCTATATAAATTTAGGCTGTTTCACGTCGCGTCGTTCTTGCAAGTTAATCTTAAAAGATAAGAAAGGATATTTTTTCATAGAAAGCATTCTTTCATAGATATTTTTTTGGTATCTTCAACCGTTTTCGCAGCGTACGCAACGGTAACCCACAAAGATGAACAATTTTCCCCGATTTTACACATTTCTCGCTGTTTCTTCGCTTCTATTAGGCACAGCGCGAATTGTTATAAAACCTATAATCGAAGAACTTCAGGTATCAATAAATAACTCTAACCAACACAAAAAAATAATTTAAATTCGAACCAGTAGTACCTGAGATTAGCGCATTCAAACAAACAAACTCTTTAGCTTTATATATTGGTATAGATTGAGCGCATATTTGATCATGTCTTGGTACGTTTGCGATAAGCAAATTTGGTTCAAATCCCTTTATAAGACAATGAATCAACATAGAATCTGCTAATGAGATTCTTTCGGAGCGTACCGCAGACGTGCTACAAGGATCGTGGATCCAACGCGTGCACACAATGTTTAAATCGATAACCTTTGTAGAGGTTGTCTTAGGAAGCCCCTTTGCAGGTAATCCTGCCCACTTGGAGTTATTGCCGCCGAGGGAAGGAAAGATTACCTCGGTGGGAGATAAGGAGGTCGACGGGGCTTGGAGTGCGATTGTCCCCGAGTCAGGCGTCGAATTGTGTCAAGTGAAGCGGCAAATTGAACGGCCGAGCCTTCTGCGCACTCCGTCAGTAATCGTCACATAAACTGCCGCGACCCGAACGCTTAATTATGCTAAATTGTTTTGCCAGATAGCAGGCTTTTTAATTTTTAAACTTAAAACTTAATCTCTTGAACAAGCAATTCAAATACTGGAATTTTGAATTACTAGCTACTTTTCTAATGATAGAGAAGGATAGACAAGCCCCCATGCTTGTTGATTTACTTGATGGGAGATGAAATAACTCAACCATATTAAATCTACACAAGATGTGCTGTCGACCTTGGCCTTGGGTATTCGGGAATCCACGGACTGAGACCGAAATGCAACAAAACTTATCGGCTTTTTCATCTGTGGTGTCTTCTGGACTGTGGTTCGTGACCCGCACGGAATTACTGATATTCCCATCACTCAGACTTCCAGACTAGCATCTTTCAGAAAAAATATAAGTTGAATAATTAGAAACATTTTGGACCTGGTGGTGATCACCCGTTGATTATTAGCCATACAGGTACCATCATTAGACCAACGAGATCGTCAAAACTTCACATTATAATCAAGGAAAACCTTCTATATTTAAATCATGAATTTGCCTTTTATATAAGAGGCTATATTATTTAGAAGATTGATAACTATGATTTCTCTTAATTTGTATCTGCTTATTGCTGGCGAGAAAAATATAACATGAAATTTAGAGTAAGAATGGGGTCTCGTTTCATTTGGCACTTAGTATTAAAAGAAAACTGCGGAAAACCCCGTATATTTTAATTAATAAAAACGTTATAATTTGTTTATGCATGTGAGCGATGTTAACGATACACTAGTTAGTATTCATAGTGTCGTAGCTCTATGTAGCTCTGCAGGTCCATAGGTTCGTTCCAATTACGCGTGAAGGGGTAAAGGCACAGCAGACGGCCGGTGTTAAGACTTGCGGCCTTTCATTCGCTACAGGACGTGATTCTAACTTAAAATATTTTATATTACTTCGATCAAGTAACACTAATGTAAATACCTATAAGTCTATTAGTATAGTACATTCTATTAAGAAGATTTGTTCTTTGCACTGGTGTTCTTAAAATAAGGAAGAAACCCTTTCTACAATGAATAAAATTAGTAATTTCAACAGAGCACTCCACGTGGAATTCTGTGATAAGATGAACTTTCCCTTGCTCACAAATTACACTGAATTTCGTTGATAGAGAGAAACTTTGTTCAAATGAAATCACTTCCACGGTCTCCACAACATTTCTCTGTTTTACTTTCTGCCAAGTCACCCAATCGTGATTCGTGTCTTTTGGGACGGAAACTAAGAAAGGAAAAAACAAATTGAGTTTCGCTTACCTAATGCCCAATACATTCAAGTAGAAATTTTAACGATACTGTCCGGTGCTGTTTCTATCCTTTTTACCCGACGGAGGATACTAAAGAACGGGTAATGATTTTGTAGCGTTTATTGTAGACTAAAAAATGTTTTACTCTTACACTTTTAATAGTACCATCTGCTTTTTTATAAGTAGAAAGAGCTCTTAGCCGTTGTTACAAATGGATTAAAGTGTTATTTAACTTGCCGATCCACAACGCTCGTGTAATAGAAAAGTGGCGGTTAGTAGCAGGCATTGCGCGAATTCAAAATAACGCGGTTCCCATTATGAAATTTCCATTTTCCGTTGGAATTAAGTTTGTTCGGTGCATTGCCTGTATGTATAGTTGCAACTAAAGTCAGTTTTGATACGAAGACACAGACCATGGTATACTGAAAGACGTTTGTGTGAATCCCGCCTGCTTAAAAGTTTTTTTTTTAAATCGAAGTTACTTTTCCATTTAAGAGAGATAACATGCGAAAATAATAAATATCCAAACAAACAATTTTCCATTGTTTGCGATAAACGAATAAAGCATAGTTGTAAATGATACGTGTATGGATGACGAACGCGAGTTAACAGTGCATAATGACATATGACATCGATTTTATTGCGTTGTCAACGCGGCACAACGCCGTGTCCGGTGCACGGTCGGTTAAGTTGTCAATCACGTAATTGACGATGTAGCTCTTTGACGCAAGCCGAATGCCGCCGGGCGCTGACACAGAAGCTGCACTCGACACGACGCGCGTGCCGATCTCCGCCACTTCTCTAATACCACAGAGTATCCATACATACGTTTAATTATATTATCACTCAGGTTAATCGTACTACGCGCGCAAGGGCCACGCTTCCAAAAACTGCAGTTGGGGATTATAAAAGTATAAATAAAAATCAAACGTGTTAAGGACATGGTCAAGTTTTAAAAGGAGAAATATATTAATTAAACCGTAATCACGGGAAACGGCGGCTGCATAGCTTTCGAACCGTTGAGCCGTAGTTACAATAGTTTTCAAATAATTTTAACTAAAATATTTTGCGTTTAAACCCGTTAAAGTGCTGTATTTAAATGTGTACGACTCGCTTAAACTACAGACATTTCATTGTAATATAACAGAACTAACAAGTTACCCTATCCAAGGTTCTTTATAGTGTTTCCATTTTGTTATTTTATTTAAAACTAGCTGTGCCAGCGACTTCGTCCGCTAATAATATTTATTTTAGGCATCCAAATTCGTTTTTGCAAAGCCCTTTACCTTTATAAACTTAAGCTGTTACGACGTCGGTCGTTACACTTAAAAGTTAGACATATTATAGCGTCGCGGACTTTTTTTTTAAATCATTCTTTCATAAATATTTTTTGGGTATTTTCAACCGTTTTTGCATCGTACGCCTCGCCTTTTCGCTTGTATTAGTCACAGAGCGATGTTTTATACCTTATGATGCCTTCCTCGATAAATGCTCTAACCAACACAAATTTTTCAATTCGAATCCGTAGTTCCTGAGATTAGGGCATTCAAACAAACTCTTCATCTTTATACAGTAGTATAGATTTCTATGATTATCAAAGCAAAAAGGCTGTCTATGTTTTTATTTGCTTTATACTTCTGTTATTCGGCTTTTTTTATGTTGTGTAATCTTTTCTTGTTTGTTTCAGGTATGCCTTAAAGTTGACATACACTTCGTCCCTTAGGGTTGTCTTTCAGGTATGTCAGTTACACACAAATATTAATGGATACTTATTTTGAACTCAAAAGCTGTTTAAATAGCAAGAACAAACGAGTTATATATTAAAGCACGTTACTCGCACCGCGATTGCTCTGCACTTTACACGATACGGAGAAAGGTTCAGTGGGAAGTTGGGGAAAGAACGGAGACATTTGATTTTAAGCCTCGCGGACTATAAGTGTTATTTCTTCGGGAAAAGTATTATTCTACAAGAGTAGCGCTGCTTCGCCGTCTCGAATGCTCCATTTAGTTCCAAAGTTTTTCTCGTTTATCACCGTTGGGCTCTCAGAAGCGGAGATTTTTCCTTTAGATTTGTTGTCACACCAGACCTTTTTAATGTACCTTTCTTATCGTGGCGTGATTAAGACGAAGCTTATTTCAGATTTAAAACTTTCCCGTCTCACGGTGACTCGGCTAGGTGAACAATTGCTTTCCAACTTGAAACATTTACTCATACCTTCACGTCTGGAGCGAGAGATTTGTGATTTACGAAGATCGCTGTTTAAAAAAAGCAATTCCTCATAAACGGGGGTCGGGGTCGCTCACAAAGATGCTCACAATTCTCAGAGTACTGTCATCAGTGTCTGACCAACGAGATAAGGCGTTGCTTTTGGCGATGCTGAGTGTTCCCTTAATTAAGGTATGGGGCGACGCGGCGACTGAAAAGAGGGAAAATTAAGTTTGTAACAAAATCGAATGTAACTGAATAGCACTATCCTTTTGTGGTATCTAATTAATTTATTTAATACCTAAGTAATTTATTTTAAATCCAAAAACAAAACGCGAATATAGAAATACATTACTTAACTATCTTTATTCTATATACTTCAAAATTTATTAAAAGGTTTTATTTAAAAAGAAGGAACGCGAAGCAGTAAACCTATTAATATACATTTTCTCCCATGGTAATGGAAACATTTCATATTCATGACCGGAAATATGGGCGATCGAAATTGCCAAAAACTTCGATTTATGCTGGCCAAAACGTACCTATCGACAAATGGAATTTATCGAATCCAATAAAGTAATAATTGGTTTGATTGTTACAGACTAAATCTCTAATATGCGCACAGATCCTAACAGTTGTATTCTAGTAATTATTATAATTTATTATTGAGAACCAATTATAATGCTTAATAATAACTAGAAACATTAAAAACAATATTTATTTATCTTTATACAAATTGGATAGTATGTTCTTTTTTATCTCGTACCACTAATTTTGATATGGGCTAGGTGTGTGGACGCATTAGGCACTGTTTAGTCAAAACATACTTATTTATGTTATGTAGGCCTTTAACAAAAAGATAGTATAAAAAAATAAGTTCTAATATGTCTTTACGTTTTAAAATATTGTATTTTTACGAATTCTTATTTCTTGTTTCAAGAATATTCTTCCGGAATACAATCAATCTAACTAAGGAATAATTACTATTTTTTACTTTACCCTCGCAATCTCGATAGTGTTCCAGTTTTAATTTCCAATCCAGTTAAATATAATTGTTTTATACTTGATCCATGTTCTTTTATTACTTTATTAGGTAACCGATTCTTTAGTTTTAAATCTACCGTCTATAAATAATTAAATCCAATATTTCTCACTGACTTTTTTTCTCTTAGATTCTGAATAACTTAAAAAGTGTAGCTTTCACGAGAGGATAAGTAATAAGGTAAGTCGAAGAGGAAAAGTAAACTAATATCGGTTGGTTCAGAACGTCGCCGATGGTCGCTAGCCGCTGGTAGCACGGCACCGGGCCGTCATTCCCTCTATGGATTTATTACTTTAATATGAGCACTCCATCCACTGCCGTTATACCTATGTAAGCGCTAGATATATATTCTCTTGCATAAAAACAGTGTCTTAAAAATATCCTGCTAGAAGACCACGTGTATACATCTACTGTGTAGAGCTCCATGGTACGGGACACTTTGATCGTGGGTTCAAGTCTTGCCGAGTCTTTAAGTTTTGAATACAAAATAGATTTTTATTAGCTTTTTGTCTAGTGAAAGACAGTTTTTAATAATATTTTTCGATATTATAAAAATATGTACAATATAATAGCTTTACTTGATTCGCTCTTTACAATTATCCTTGTAAAAGAAATAACGAACCATCCCCCTCAAAACCTGAAGCGCGAAAACAAAACAATAATCATTAGCACTTCTCCCATCTTTCTCACTTCAAAAGTCGTTTGGCAAAGTTTCTTAAATTTCGGAAAAAAGTTTTCGGTACAAATTAAGAGCAAATTTTACTCCATCCGTTAAGTCATTAGTAATTTCAGAGTTCTAATGAATTTTCTTCTTTGACGTTGAGAAATGAATTTCGACCCTTACTTCTATCGTAGGGACATTGGACATCTGTAACGCACCACACTAGTCCCACATCGATCCGCGGTTAGCGGGATCATTCCGCCCCTACTAACTTATTTACATAGTATATCGGGTAACGCTCCGACTGAAAACCCCGTAAATAAATATATATTTGTGTAGCTAATTATTCACGTAACACAAATTAATCTAGAAAGGACAATTAATAGCAACGTTAAAGTTCAATAGGACGTTTCGGACCATAACTTTAAAGTAGAATAGGGTGGGCGTATCCTCTCTCCGCACCCCTCATTACCCTAACGGTAGCCCATTAGGCTCACGGGCCGAATACCCCGGACCGTAGTTAATCCACGTCCTCATTCTCTGTTATTTCGAAGGTTTGATCTAATCTAAACTGAGCTTAGGATTCAACGTCACAACACCAGTACTCGTGCTAGCCGTCTCGTTATGTGCTCGACTATCGTTGTACCCGGTTCTGTCGGTTTCTCGACGCTGCCCTTACTGTAAGGGAAATAGGACTTTCGAAACTTCCGCACTGATTTCGTGTTAATGCTATTGTACGAAATTAATTTTGCTGTCCGTCCACCAATTACTTAGTTGTTTATTTGTGAAGTAAGACCAATGTTTGCAAAGCTTTATAATTTGTTATGTATAATATTCTTTATATAGAGAATGCATTGTCGTTATGGCCGTTCCTACAATAATAGGACTGGTTTAACTAGACTTTGTTCGAAACGAATAGCAAGGATACAAAGTAGAAGGGGTCAATTTAGAAGCTATTATACAGTGGCCGTTAGAGGCCTACTTCCGGCGGCTGAACTAAGCTGCGTGTTCCAATACACTCGCTCAATTTGGGCGCTTTCTACTCTGAAATTTAACTTCCTTGTGTTTATTATGGCTTAAAAATCCAAGCTTCCATATTAAATATCAGTATCTTACTTGTTGAAAAAGTAAAATCAAAACTTATAAACAATGCTTATTCTTATATTGGTTCAATTCTCATTCAGCCCATTTTTACAGAAAAGAAATTGAAATGGATCAAAATCATTGGAATACAGTTAAAAATTATCAAAAACTTAGAATGAGGTTTGCGTACGTGAAGTTATTACTTAAATAATAATACAACATTCCTAGTGAATTATGAAGAGAGGGGGGAGGTTGTGAAAGCGGCATAGTTTACATACATTAGGGTTTGGTGACAGTGCACGAGTATGGCGCAGCGCTAGTGGAAAAGCGCTGTAGTACATTGTAACGGGGCACAAACGAGGAGTTATGACGGCAGTGGAGGATTACGTGAGTGGATGTCGTAATAAAGCTTGCGATGAAGCCGTTAACCGAAGATAAACGTAAATATCTCTGGGCGTAGCTGTCGGCTGCTCGACCGAACTCTCCTTAAACCGAGCCCCGGCCCTAACAGCATCCTATCTTCCCTAGCATTTATCTCTTTTTGTTCCTTCATCTTTACGGTATTAATATAAACACGAAAATCTTTTATCTACAAAAACAAGAAGGGATTTGCACCGTTTCGGTTATCAATAGCCTTACTCTAGTTGGCAATTGGGCAACAATAACGAAGATCGAAAAGAAAAAATGTATGATACTGACATGTGTTTTAGCGACTGCGTATTTCAATGCCATAATGTGAAATTTTCTGAATAATGTCTTTCTGCTTAATATAAGTTATATATTTATATATAAATCTCTCATTTCTTCAGGCTTTAGGTTTCTAGATTTTCATTGATTCTAGTATTTGAAACTTAAATGAAAATTATATCTTATGTAATAATTGCTCCGATATTCATCAACACGAGGTTCTGTTTGACCTAAGAACGGCTCTTATGACCTTAATTAATTACATAAATCTTGTTACCGTTCATCTTAGGCTTAGGAGGCTTGAACACTGAGTTTACATAGATAAAGAAGGGTATGAAATTAATTTATATACCAAACCGCCGAAGCGTAAAAAAAATAAACTTACATTTTTATTAACTTTAATGTGCAATTAACATGTAAATATAATAATGGTTAAATTGTTATATTTATGATGGCAACAACATACTTAATTTTAAAATACTGTTGCCACGTGCTCTTCTACAATAAGCAGAATTTCTCAGAAACAGTTAAAGAAAATGAATAGCTTTTGAGTTCAGAGTAAGACGAGGGCGATGATTTCCCAGGATGTTAGCTGCCACTACATGACGTAGCAACACAAATGTAAGATGTCACTGCTTAGATGAAATACGTTATTTGCATGATAAGAGCTTTAACTTTTTATTTTACGAATAATCCGTACACGGTTCTACTTTTGAACAATAATACGAAACGCGTATCAAAAAAATAATACGACAGAAAAGGAGACAAGCATGAGATCTTAAGATGGAAGGTAAAATACACAAGGTATGTAGGGTCTATATACGAGCCGCTGCCGACATAATTAAACTTTGGAGATTCGGAAATCTAGACTGAAACTGAAACACAGACATTATATACTTCATCTATGGACGGTGGTATGTGACTTAAAAAATTCAGACATAAATAAAACGGAATTTTTCAAATTACCCTATTTTCCAATATTAGGCATTTTTAGGGAAATTGTTTATAATGTTTGAAAACTTAATTATTTTTAACATATTATATGCACATAAAGGCAGTAAATAATTTAAAAATCGAAAATAAATTTAAAAAAACAGCACGGAACGCTGACGATGCCGGTTCATTTCCTGCCCGAGTCGAAATTTTTTTTCAATTTATTTTCGATTTTTAAACTGTTTATTATTTAAATTTTGTTTATATTGAATGTGTCTTTTCCTTTCGCCTTCCATTAAGTATATTTATATTATTCGTGTCATCATTGTATATTGATATAAAATTAAATGCGAGGCGGTCTTACCGGTAGTTGAAATATGTAAAGCTCTGTCTGCACTAATTCGGTAATCAGCTTTTGTGGAGAGTAATTGGCCGACTAGTCTTACGACTAAACCTCTTATCGAAAACTTTTGAGACTAGAAACAATCGAATTCTAGACCTAACCTATCACAAATTTGCTTCTACCAATACAGTGCTTAGCAATGTAGGATTTTTTGAATAATGTGAATGCATAATTAAAGAACGAATTTATCTTATTACTACACTACATTATAATCACATATTAATATCAACTGTGCTTATGAAATATTGCGTTTACATTACCGCCCGACGCAACAATAAGAACCATCCACGATTTGAAACAACGCCATTTACATATTTTAATAAAATAATATCGCAACTGAATCGTAACTAAGAACTTGATTTAAGTTCTTACCGCGATGAATGTAAATTCGCCACTGCCGTCGCAATTCCCGATTTCAATTCTGGAATTAATGGTTGCCGTCATTCGATGCTAGTCTAATATTTGCATTGCTTCCTCAGACTCTTTGCCATAGATATGGAATAAATTAGAGCGAATGAATCGGTCATCTCGAGGGCTATTCCGGTGGAGTACGTCCGACTAGATTGCTCGCTCGAATCGAACGGACCGCGGAGCTGTGAGGTCTTTATATATTTTTGACACATTCGGTAGGCCGTGCACGATGTCACTTGGCCCTGCTAAGCGTGCATTAATATTGTCAATAGTTGGAGTTAGTGGAAGTGAAGTACGTGTTCCGCCTGCCGCTATCTACGGCGCAGCTCGCGCGGTGAATTCGAATGGCCTCTCACACCACACGGCGCTGAGCCCGGCCGGCGCCCGCTTGCCCACCTTAGAGCCCCCGGTCCCACCGATTCCACCCCGTAACGCCCCATAAACTCGCGTCTTAATTTTAACTTTATTTCTTACTGCTTCTGTTCCAAGAAAATTAAGTGTGAACGAACCGCTGAAAGATTCACACGGGTGTGTTTACGTCTCCTCATAAACATAATGTCTGTTTTAGGATTTTATATTCCCCGTCTAAATTTCTTTAAACCGCTATCTAATGAGTTATTGAAAAAATCAAAAAGCAATTTCGTGAATTTTTTAAATTTCAAAAATCTATCCTTTTAATAAAATGTTTACAGTATTATAGAAAATAATAATAATCATGAACAATTCTTAGGATAAAAAAAATAAAATTTATCCCAATCTAAATCTGCGTAAGTTTAAGTTAAGATTTTTTCTTATTTTTGTACCCTATAAAGGATTTTTGTGTATATGATCGTAATGTGCTGACGGATGTAAAACGGCCAAATATTGTTATATTTTTTTTATTTCCAGTACTACCATAATAATTGTTTTCCTTACTAAAAATTTTAATATATCTTTTAAATTATAATATGTATCAGTCGATCGCCTACAATGACGCCGGACTCGCCGGGGTAAGTGCAATACAATAGTATTTAGGCTATTCTAAGGCGCTTCAAAGTCCATACCTCTCACAAGTTTAGCGATCTAACGAGGCAAATAAATTCAAAGACGGCCGCGACTGGACAGACCTGCCCCTCGTTATTATTCGGCTCTCGTGGAATTACTTTACGTTCTTAATGGAAAAGTTAGATATTTACTTTAAAGGTAAATATGTTATTTCCCCAACTACATCTTCCTACCCATATATTATGTTTACTTACACGCTTTGTTGCGTCATTTCATATTGTAAATATTTTTAATGCACGGCTGAAATCGAACTCCCGATCTCGCGAACGAAAATCAGGTGCACATGACACAAGACGAACACACCTTCGTCCTTAACATATATTTGTCACTTCTCTGATTATCATAATAAGATTTTTAATTATTAAATATATTATACACTATATTTTTGTGGTCTACTAAAGTTAATATAATTTTCCTACTACTAATTATTCAATGACACGACATAAATCGAAACGGAAAGTAAGTCCCAGCGGAGATACAGCAGTTGGTGCGAACTGCCCCTTTAATTATGAAAATGTATGCGAAGCACATGAAAGTTTGTGCAATTATGCCCTCGCCTCCGCAGTCCGCGCCATCCGTGCGTCGTGCGGTGCCCGTCCTTAACTACAGACCACCAGACTGGCCGGCAGTCTGCTGCGCTATTCAATTACCTCATTATGGTACAACTTTCCACGGAAAATGTCAAGATGCCCTCGTTTTGTGCTAACTTCGTTTTTATTATAATAACTTGGCTTTAGTCTTTTGTCAAATAGCAATAATATCATTTCACTTCGACGGAAAGCGATACAGTATATAAAGCTCGTTATAAAAGAAAAATGTTATTTTAAAATTCAACTACTAAAAAGCGCCCATACGTTGGGGTCTATTACGGAGCAATAAAATTTTTAGTGGTGCGTACAAATTGTTAGTTCCCTCTGGCTGACGGATGGTCGCTAGTCTGGCGCCGGCAAATGAGCACACGATAAAATTATCGTTAGCGGTAACGACATGAATAAATGCAATAGGGTGGTTCGCGATTGAGTAAGAGGAGTAAGAAGCGCGATTCCAGCTTTGGACTGCCGCGGTACGTGCTCGTTAGGACTTTTGTGAACTCGGCACGACCCGCAGAGCGCACCTCTCAAATCCCGGCCGAGATTCAAATATGGGCTCTATGTTAATTTGCTTCACATAAGCTTCACAATATATACGAAATCCGAATTCTAGATGCTAGAATTTATGACTCCGATTAAAATGCTAAATATTCCATATTTATTTGCTCGCCCGTCTGCCATAAAAAATGGTATGTTTGCCGGTTTGTGTAATTACTGCAGTTGGCTTGGCTTCGCTAAATGCAAATAAGTAAATAATTTTAATAGTAAATATAATTAAGCTACAAACCCACATAAAACCCGAATCATGTTAACCGAGTAATAAATATCGGCATACAAACAAGAGGTTCCAAAATTATTGGACGCTGGAGGATTTTCATTGTAGTTTGTATTACACATATTTGCAATTATAATTTTATTATATCCTCTTTCTATTTAGTACGAGCTGGTAAATATTTGTGGCGATTATGTTTTTGAAAACTTTTAAAAGGTATACGCGCTTAATATCCTCCTCGCCATACAAACTACTGTTTGCTTTGATTTATAATTTGCCGCTGCCGACCGCGTGGTACGAAATTTTAAATGTCACGCATTTGTGATGAATACTCGCAATTTTCTCGCGGGAGCATGAAGTTGATAACGCTATGACTTTATCGCGTTTTATTTTACCTTTACTAGTTTGTATTTTGACATCACAATAATAACTACACATTTTTAAATCTAAATTAACTATTATACATATTTTAAATAAAACACTGAGCTATTTAAGATGACAAATGTATTAGACAAACTTTTTTACAATTTATTTTAAATATGCTTTGCAGCAGTCGTGGTCACAGGGTGACTGAAGATGGTGTGTGTCCCTAATGCCAAAGTAAATACTGCTACGCTAGTGCCATCTAGAACAGATTAAAAGCCGTGAAAGTGTTATATTTAAATGTGCACTACACACTACACTATTTTACTCATCGTAAGTTTAAGAGGCCGTAGCTAAGACAACTTATAATAAACGATAGCGAAATTTGAAAACAAACAATCTTTGGGATAACCATATGATTTAGCGATTTTAAATCAAAGCCATAGTATTTGTTATTTTCGAACTCCGATCTGTAATTGTTAACTTGGCTACGGTCCCGGGGCCGTTGTAAGACTTATTGTAAGTCAGTTTCGCTCGCATGTGACACGATCACATCACTTTTTCGCCCCTCCCTGTCTACTCGAGGATCTAATCGCATCGTCATCGCGACTAGGCTAGGCTCGTGTCGTTTCACTACAGAATTGCCATAAATCAGTCGACACCGCGTGATGGATGATGCAGTCTCAACAAAAACAGAATAATCTGGCCCAACTCTGATATTATGGTTTGATATACGACGCTTAGCTTAATATTTTTACTATCTCGTGTTACTGTACCTTTATTATATTTTTTTTTATAGCGGAGGACAGACAAACATGCTGTTCACTTGATGGTAAGTTGAAAATCCCAGTCATATAACGTCTTATCAAAATGCGTTATCGACCTATTTTGACTTTGGGTATTCGGATATCTGAAGACTGAAACCGAAACACGATTTAACTTCACGGCGGTTCGTGACCCGGACGAAATTTCAATATTCCTACCATCTATTTACTATCCGGATTTCCAGACAAAGTCAGATTCTGTTTCTGAAAAATTATGAATTGATTAGAAAAGTGCTCGACCGGTGGGTATCGAACCCAAACAGTGTTTTAGACCATTAAACCATCGCCCGTCGAATAATATAGTCCGGTACGATATATAAGACAGAACGTAATATTCTTTCTTACTTCGTGTAACAAAATAAACTCCTAACGATTTTCTGTTAAACACTATTATATTTATGCATTGGTACGTCCATTGCAGATTTCATGTCAGCGGATAGTATCCGAAATGTAGGAGTATCGAACGATGAATGTGTAACTCGTGTAAGTTAATATTGCTTCAATTTTGTATCGGGATCGCAAGCTGCGTATTGAAAATGCACACCCACTCGTTAGGTTCGGACGATGGTGGTTGCGGTCCGACGCGTGACGTCACGTCCGGCGGTCCCGCCTGCCCTCATTAGCATACATTATATTCGCCATTACGCCCCGCGCATGTGGCTTTTTACAGTGTTTTTCATGGGACGGCCGGGCTGCAAAACACAGCCTTACAGCATCTGTTGTCCAGTCCATAATTAATCGATAAAGCGCTATTTTCCTCCTCGAAAATATCTATCTATACTAATGTATAAAGCTGAAGAAGTTGTTTGTTTGTATATTTAAACGTCTCAGGAACTAATGGTTAGAATTGTAAAATAACAAAGAAATCAAAGATACAGGGGAAATGTGAAAAAATTAGAAAAACAATCATCATTATGGCTTTCAGAGGCGCACGCTGCAAAAACGGTTCAAGCTACCCAAAAATATATGTATGAAAGAATGATTCCTCTTTAAATTATAAAAAAAAGTCCGCGACACTATATCTATCTTTTAAGATAAACTTGCGTAGCTTTGCTTAAGTTTACAAAGATGAACGAATTTGGTAGCCCAAAATAACGATTCTCGCGGACGAAGTCGCTGACACAGCTATTAATCGATAAAGCGTTATTTTCCTCCTCGAAAATATTTTGCAATAAAATTACACGTTGAACTCGTCGCAGCAATTTAAAGTAAAAATACAAAGCTAAGCTCGGAAAGAGGTATGGTGTCGGTGCAATGTCGCGTCGCACACACACGTAGTCTCCCGCTGTGCTCTGATTTACTCTTGTCCGCCCCCGCCACCTCTACTGACACCATCCACAATCTACGCGTTTCTCAGCAGCTACTTACGAATCCCTTTTATACGGTTTAAAATTCAAAGTACTTTTACTTTACCGCATAATGAGACACTCGTACGATATACGCAGCGGTTCGTATCGAAGACGAAAAATTTTTAATAAGTAATTTTATAAGGGAACGTCGCGATACGTAATTAGTTGAGCCGCCGGTCAGCGGACGAAGCTAATATTTGCATATCGCGATTGATGCAAGGCAATCAATACTGCAAATAATGGAATTGTCATATATAAAATCTACAAAACGGATTACACTCACCTCGTTAATAACAAATCAAATTGTTTTAAGCACTCCGGGTAGAGTGTATTTTTGCTCTGATTATTATTGCAAGTCGGGCTACAGCTTTGATTTAAAACGCATTTTTGATGTGGCTCAATTGTTAAACGAGAGATGCTGGGTTTGAAGTCCGGGAAATATAATAATTTGTCCGCACAGAGCACGTAAGTCTAAACTCTTTGACAGGAATTAAATTTAA